GTGGGGCAGAGGGGGATGGGGGGGGGCTTTGGCTTGTGCGCAAAACCTTGAGATGCAAGCCGTTTGGCAAAGAGTGAACAATTCTTTGAATTCAATTCAATTCTGTCAAAATAAACACAAAACGGGAATCACACAGTGTGTATTGGAAACAACCGAGCAACATTTGAATTTCTGCCTGCTTCATGTGAACATACAATGGAAAACAACATTGACATGCTAAGCGTTAGCCTCAAATGTTGCGGTCTTACGACTACTCGGGCATTTAATCTTTATAGTACTTTGGAAAATGTCAAATATCACAATATTTGACTCAGGCTCTTCAAGTACTGTAGTAGTAATACGATTTTGAGTTTGCGGCTGCATGACTGTCTCGGGCTGCCTCCTGGTGGCCAGGGAGGGCACAGCAGAAGGAGCAGCGTAATGAATTGCTTTGCAGCATTAAAACGCAATAGCACAAAGTGTCTTTTTAAAAAAGTACTGATTCAACTGTAAAAAAAAACTACAATAAAGGGAGTGGGGAGTTAAGAATTGGTCAGACGGGTGAAAAATCTTAAGTACGGTCACAAAATATTTGTACTTGGTTACTTCCCACCACGGATGTTAGATAAGATCGAGTGCTGAGTAGGAAGGGTAGTGGTTGGGGAGGCAGGTCTTGGCTCTGAACATCAACAAGCGCCAGATGTTGAACAGCGAGCCAGCTGCTTTCCCTCTCTCTGTCTCTCTCTCTCTCTCATTCTCATCCCATTTTCAACTTGAAAGCTGCTCGCCTCTCTGTAATCACCGAAGCCGCTTTCAACGAAATGGAACACTACCCGGAGTGGAGATTTTTATTTTTATTATTATTATTAAATTTTATTATCCACAGAAAGCCAGGCTCAGCACCACGGTTTTGAGAAAAAAAAATAACAAATGTAATTAAAATGTTTGTAATTTCAAAAAGAAATCAATTAAATATGTTGAAAAATCTGCAGCCACACAAAAATGGTTGTATTATTTTAAGAAAAAGCTCCTAACAGTTGCAAAAAGAATTTACTTTTTTCCACACAAAAAAAAACAACTCAAAATTGTGTTTTTGAGAAAATTAATTTTTTTTTTTTTTGGGGGGGAGCAAAAAGATTGTGGGTTAAACCGGAACGACTGTTATAGCATTCACTGACAAATAAATAAATGTTTGCTGTTTCAACCCCCCTGCTCTAATTCCCCCCCTAATTTTTCAGGCCGCAGAAAGCCAGGTCGTCGCCGCGGTTTTTCCACTGTGTTGTGTCTATCAGGGGCCGGGATGCAGGAGCGCCGGCTGATGGACGATAAGGCTTGTACTGTGCGTGCGCGTGCACGGAGACGATGGAATCTTTTTTACTTCAAAAGAGTCGCGCAAGAGCGGGCATGTAACGCTCACTCTCTCTCTTTCCATCTGTCTCTCTCTCTCGGCCACACTTCCAGCCTTCAAGCTTCACCTGTTGCTCCTGATCATGGAAAGATGATGTCATTGATTGATGATGATGTCACCATTTACCCTCGTTGACCTAACGAGAGTGGAACGCATGAAAAATATTCGAAGGGGAGTGCAATTTAAGGGCAGGTCACGTCAAAAAATGTTCTTTACAGTCATGTGTGTTGCCACTACAGTCAAAAAATGTCATTCAGGTTGATATTGCGGTCGTGTTTGCCTTTTTCTCCGTCTTAGATGGGCAGCCATTTTGCCACGAGATGTCGACTGAAAATGACATCACGGTTGCTCAGGTAACGACCAATCACAGCTCAACTTGTGAATCACATGACCAAAACTCAGAAAACGGGTACTGTACATCTCTATTTACACAGTAAGATATATATATATATATA